GTTTTTGTGTAAAACAGTGCGGTCTCACAATTCAGTGAGAAACATGTTGAGTTAAACTTTTTATTCAATTGAAATTCTGGGAAATAAAATCGTGTCTGAGACGTGGTAGATAATATATGTACATTTGTTGTCCTTATGTTCCGATCACGTGACCCTTAACAATCACATGTAGAAACTTTTAATCTAATTGGTTGATGATTGACTTAGTTTAGTACCGATTAAACAATTATCAAATTGGCGAGATTAGTACAATTACTAAAATCAATAAGTCACGACTCCACACGTCACTCATAACCATGGTGTGTGTGTTTCTGTGTCATTTCACTAATGTAAACAACATTTCTATGATATATTTGATTATCCTATTATTGAAATTAAGATAATTGAATTTGATATTGATGATAAGGTTCTCGTTGAAACAGGAGATGGGTCGGCTGATATACGGGTATTTACAAGTGTGTAAAACTCTATTTCAGGGTGGATTTTCCCACGGTTCACGTTCATCAGCAGAAGAAATTAATAGCTACGAGCAAAGATAAATTGATATTATCATATCAGTTTTTCATAAATGATGTCCTCAATAGCTGCATGCCTCACCATGTTATGCGCGTAATATAGTTAAATATATCACTCATTAGAACTAATGATTCGGATCGTCTTAATGAAGGTGTTCATTAATACAAGTTTATAAACATGTTCATATACAATAGCTACTATAATTACAGAATGATCATGCATACACATGAACGGACCATAAAGATACACCGGTGCACAGAGTTGAAGATGGTGACACACTTATATGAGCTTGGAGTTTGGTCAATAAAGTAGGATGTATGAAGTTATTAAAAAAAATCTAAAAAGTCTTAATAATTGCATATCAATTGAAAGTAAGCTCGATCGTTTTCCTTGTTTTAATGAAGATCAATCATCGTTTATTTATTATGCTTCTAATTATATCACAACAGTTGTCTGATACATCTCTTTTTGGGAAGATTTTTTTTTAATTGTGTAATATACATTAGCAAAAGAACAACTTTCACGCCTCCCTTTTATCGTGTGTTTTATCAGGCATTTCATCGTTTTGTTTTGAGCACAGTTTATCCTGTATTGTTGCCTTTAGTTATCGTGTATTTCGTGCTATTTTTATCATATGTTTATCGTTTATTTTAACGCTTATTCTATCTTCTATTTATTCGTGTAGATTCTCTGACGGTAACTATGTTGAACTCAATAACATTTAAGCTATAACCTTAGTCTTAATGATCACTAAAATTAAGTGATTGGTCATTTACTTTGATACCGGTGTCGCTCGTGTACAGATGAGGATATACATACCCAATGGTCAGCCTTCAAAGTCATGTATGTGTTAAAAACGAGGCTTTATCTACATAATAACTAACCGGCAAGGTCATTCGCTTGCTTAAAACGAGGTTTTTACTATATAATAACTAGCCGGCAAGAACAATCTCTTTTCTAAAACCGGCGAGATTGTACATATCTCACGACTACCTGTCAAGGTCACTCGCTTGTCTAAACTTTCACTTGTCTAAAACTACAGATATCACAGAAAATATATATATAATCAATAACTAGAAATTGAAATGGAGTCTGGAAGCTGATATGATGTGTTTAAGCCTCTCAGAACACTTTTTATCAGCAGTAATACCAGAAAGCCTGGCCATTCTATATTGCAGTAGTTATTTGTATATTTTCATTGTAATGGATATTTGACCTCCTCTTCCCCATATCTTATAATACTAGCGGATATCATGGACATTTTTTTCGTAACTTTTGTTAATCCATATTGAACGAAACAATATACACATCTACAAAATCTACATAAGACATCTTCATACAACATCTTCATACAATAAATGCATACACAATTTACAGACCATTTCTTCATACAATAAATGCATACACGATTTACAGGCACTATCTTCATACAATAAATACATACACAATTTACAGACACTAACTTCATTCAATAAATGAATACACAATTTACAGACACTATCTGCATACAATAAATACATACACAATTTACAGACAATATCTTCATACAATAAATGCATACACAATTTACAGACAATATCTTGATACGATAAATGCATACACAATTTACAGACAATATCTTGATACGATAAATACATACACAATTTACAGACAATATCTTGATACGATAAATACATACACAATTTACAGACAATTTCTTCATACGATAAATACATACACAATTTACAAACAATTTCTTCATACAATAAACTAATACACAATTTACAGATAAAATCTTCATACAATAAATACATACACAATTTACAGACAAAATCTTCATACAATAAATGCATACACAATTTACAGACAATATCTTGATACAATAAATTAATACACAATTTACAGACAATGTCTTCATACAATAAATACAAACACAATTTACAGACAATATCTTGATACGATTTATGTATACACAATTTACAAACAATATCTTCATACAATAATTTAATACACAATTTACAGACAACGTCTTCATACAATAAATACATACACAATTTACAGACAATATCTTCATACAATAAATACAAACACAATTTACAGACAATATCTTCATACAATAAATACATACACAATTTACAGACAATATCTTCATACAATAAATGCATACACAATTTGCAGACAATATCTTCATACAATAAATTAATACACAATTTATAGACAATATCTTCATACAATAAATGCATACACGATTTACAGACAGTATATTCATACAATATCAACTATCAATCAATTTCTTCATATAGTGCATACAGAAAAAAAAATATACATAAAATATACATACAAGTTTTTACGCATAATACTATGCTTACAATATCTGCATACCAAATATACATAAAATATCTAGTTTTTAATAGCAAATCGTCCTACATGTCGTTATAACGGTTCTTTGAGGTTGTTTAATTACTACGACTAGAAAATAATAAAAACGGGTGTTGAGTTTTAACTACTGTTTGCTGTCAATGAGAGAATCCGTTTACTATGTGAGGATACGTTATCAATTACTATACTGTATAGTATTTACTAACATAAAAGGTACACATATTGATCGGCGACAATTAAATATGACAGCGAGGTGAGATGTTAGTTTAAAATGTAGATGTGCATGCCACACTTTATTCGATGCACTAACACGTAAGTACGCGATACTTCATCGTTGCCATGTTTACCAACTTTCTTTAGCGATGACGTTGACATATTCGATGAAAACGACGCTGTGCTTTTTTCTGCTTGTAAAGAAAATTCATGGTACAGTTATTTATAATAATACAGTTTCGATATCAGAGTAAATATCGCATTTTACACATTTTATTTCATTAAGGTAAATCTTGCAGAACCACATTTGATTTAGAAATGCGATGATCATATTGATGAAAAGATTCGACGAAACTAATAAAAAGGACAAGTATGAATATATATGAAAAACATTAACATGCAGAGGTTATCAAAACACTTCTCAAAGATGAATCGTTATAACGTAATTTTCTAGGTGTTCCCTTTTAACATGTGCGACGAGAAGAGTTTAGAACGACCAGGCTTTACACCTTCGGAGATCTCTGTTATTTTGTAATTGTCTATACTTGAAGACCGTCGCAGCAAACTTTCTAAAAATGCAGGAAGGAGAGAAGAGATATAGTAACTAACTTATTACAAAATTACAAAAGACTACAAAAAAACCCGAAAGATCTATCCAGGTAATTGACGTTATGTCGCGTCCCGTGTAAAAAGGTTTACATATAATGTCATTAATTTATGTTTATATGGTATACATGGCCTTTTAGTATCATGGAATTAAATTAAATTGATATTTAGGTCAGTGTTATTATTAATTTGTTCATGAAACAACATTATATTTTCTCTGTCCTTTACCTCGAAAATCATTCCATTTTATGTGAGTAAGAAAGGAGGTAACAATTAATGGAGAAGAGGGGGTATGTATTGAAATGTATGCAGAAGACATAATGAATAAAAAAAAGTGGTTCTGTTGAATATTGCCTCTTTAAAGTCTAACCTTTTATCAATAAAATAAACGAAAGGATTTATTTTTCTTTTCTTTCGGTTTTCTGTGTGAAAAGACACCCTTATTTGTTTTATGATTTCAAATACCCGTTAGGTAGCCAGACAGAAAAAGCAGTTTGGCGCACGCGGTATTTCAACAGACATAAAAATGTGAAAATGCGGCTAGAGCTAGCCAGTTCTTGACTGGCCGTACCTTCGTATCGCGTGTAACTCTCTGATCAGGAGGAAAGTTTGTTGGCTGTGGCGCCACGCTAGCGTGAACCCACGTCTGCTGAGGCGGGTATCGGCTATGTCGCACTGAAAACAACAAAAGAAATGAACCCTTTCATCGCCCAAACGTTCTGTCTACTTTGATAAATCTACATTTTTGCTTGCTTTTCTTTTTCTCCAGTCTCTGCCTACTGTTAATATTTACCTTGTTACATACTCCACAGATACAACCTAACAAGTGCCGACCTTCAGTACCTGGTCCTTTCGATGCTACACATTTAGCCAGGCTAATTTGTGTAAACACGCATGCTAAAGTTGCACACTTGAATTATCTGCCATATGATTGATCAAAACAAAACTAGCTCACTATGAGGAGAAAACTATAATAAAATAACAACACACGATTTCCCCTCCCCCAGCTTGGGTGTCGATTGAGAGTACTTCATGGTGGAGTCCCTATCAGTAAAAACGGATAGAATTCATTATTTAAAATCACAGTTTGATTCCCGAGTATTTTTTATTCATAACGAGGACTTTAATCCTGAGTACCTTGTGTCAGACGGAGTCGCTATTGTCCTTTCACACTTCTCTCTCACCGTGAACGTCAACTCGACCGTAACTGGCCAATCGCAGAGGGGTATTGAGGGTGTGGGCGGGGCCTATCTGAGTTGATGTATGTATTGCTGTGTTTAGGGACCGTCTGTTGATTTAACTGTAGGGTTATGACTGACGGTAATCGCAGTTAAATAGTGAGTTGGAGAGAGTGCGAGCACATGATCACGGCTTCCCCTGTATTATCTCTAAATTACCTTTAATCGTTTGTAAAGGAGACTATTGGACCTTTGACAGGAAACTACAGTACTAGATCGATGTGTGATTGATATACTTAATTTTTTATCAACTTGCAAACATTTACTGACAATATTTCTAATGTTGGTTTGATTTTGTGCTCATAGAAGATTTCCAGCCTATTATTATATACCACGGACATACCCAAACTGCAATTCTGGATTTTCAAGTTCAACAACCCTACAACCTGAAAATGTTGAATGTTGGTGGCGTGGACGGTCTAGAACAGGACATGTCTGGCAAATCAGCCTTTATGGAGCTACAGCAGCAGGCGGGTATGCCTCCCGGAATGGGACACCCGGCGTACCCCATACGTTCATCTTACCAGCATCATCATGGCGGGCAACACGGCGAGAGTGTCTTCAGTAACTCTCAAGGTCGGGCCCTGTACCCCTTCCATATGAACGCCATGTCCCCATCGTCCTACCAGCCCCCCTCGGCTCACCCCTTCCCCATGCCTCCATACCAGAGTCCCTCGCCGACACGAGAAGGTAAGTCATCATATTATGATAATTACTATTAATTTCTACATTATTCTGTCCCGTAATTACCTTTTTACACATTGATCTGTGTAATTCGTTAATGAGCTCGTTATAGTGATTAGTGTTACTACCCGTGTCAGTAGTAGGTCCATCATTGACGTGATAATCCGCTAGCTTTATCAGGCATTATCTAATACACACGGATCCGTTACAATCCTTATAAAATAAATTATTAAAACAACAAAGCTGTCTATGTACGTATACCCCTCACAGAATGTGTTTACTGTTTACTTATTCACACAGTTTGTATTCAACAAACCTTTCAGGTTCATCAAGTGTTTTCGTTATCTCTAGTACCAATTGTTACCCTTTCTTTGCCCACTCTTTAAACTCAGGGCTCTTTTTATTTACGGGTACCCATCCAGTAGATAGGGGTTTTAGTTTTTAACCCTTACTATTGTAACTCGGGTACTGGGTCCTTTGTCCCCCTCCCCCAACTACAACCGTTTAACAGCACTCGGCGCTAGTTTGTATGACTGTATCGTTTACTATGTACAGCTCGTGCGACAACAAAAAGTCACATTTAGAAGGACTGCTGGTTCAGATCCTTACCGATGATAAAAAAAATTTCCTGCCGTAAAGTGAATACGATGATTTTTACCTATGTCAATCTTGATTAGATCCGTGTAAGAATGTTCCCCCGGGGGTATACTATTGAGAGTACTGGGGAAACGTGTGTGTTCACATTCTCACGATCTCCTAAAAGTAAACCTATAGATCAACATTTTGTCATAATTTTATTTGAGATAGTTTCCTGCATAGACAATTGTTTATTTCTATAAAACCTTCGCCACTAAAGCTGGAGTCCAGTAAACAGATAGTTCCAGTATCAACAGTAAATGTGTATAAACCACGATTCCGGGTAGAGGCTGATAGTTTACACGGCTGTTCAGACCCTTACAATAATTCAACATTTAAGTAATTAATTACTGAATGACCACAATGATCGTTTACGGAAGTTCCTCGCAAATTTTGAATACTATTTTTTAACGGCTGTATTATTTATTTTATTTTAACAAATACTCAGTTATTTGTTGTCTACATCCTGAAGAATTTTATTTAGGTTTTTATAAGGATTGTGTGAGATATATCGAGACTTGCCTGGCCTGTGAAACCTAACTCGGATTTCACATAGTAACACAACCACCGTGAAATTCTGACATGTTGACAGCCCAGGAACTGTACGAGGTTGAAACGTTCAGTGAACACATTTATAGACGAGACGCACATCTTATTCTGAACCAAGTATCAAATAATCACATACAGAAAGTGTGATGTCACTCTCTCTCGTCTCTCCGGATGTAAAACATTCTTTCTTATTGAGTAAAATAAAATATTTCAGGTATATCTGAATAATAAACATCGGCCAAATACATGTTAAAATGAAGACTTTTTCACTATTTTCGGTAGTTGCTTAAATTCGATATATCGGTAATACGACAAATTATTATAAAATTACTCTTAAAAGTTCCTAGCAGTTTCACCTCACAAAATCATCCCTTCGAAATTCTCCTCTAAACATAGCAAACGTTCCGGCTTTAAATATTCCTTTTATTCACACTTGCAATTGCCTTTTTAGAGACAATCTAAATAAAATTACATGTTCAACACTTTGTAGTACGAACCCCGGGTACAATAATAATCCTTGATCCAATCAACACACGAGCTTGGCACGTGCGTTCCTCTGTTTATAATCTACCTACACTTGTTACTTGTGCACTATTAATGATGTAATACCTGTGGATTGTTTGCTCAATTTCACTCTCCAATTATTAATTGATCAATTGAATAATAAATTGGTATTGAATAGGAATTTAAACATCAATGCCGTGTTTTAATTCTTTGTGTAAAATACATGTGATAAATACGACTTTTATATGTGCAGAAATGCCTTCAATATAATAGATTTATTTATAAATACATTGCAACCATTTTTTCTAGACTTGTTTATTGTAAGAAAACATCATCAGTTTCAAGTACAAACAGAAAAATGGGTTTTATTTGCTTGCTACCCAAGATAACGGTCATTTGGGGGGAAAATTCAGTTAAAGATTTTTTGGAAGAATTTATTTGGAAAAAAACCCCTTTAAATAATATGCTTTTATCGCGAAGGCTTTCTACAAAAATAACCAACCTTAAATTTCCGCTAAAAATATTAAACTATTCATTGATATAAATCAATCTAACATTGAAAAATATTTTAACATTAAATAAGATTTCTGGAGAAAAGTCTTATATGTACAGAAATAATATTTACACATATTATCTGAGAAATACATGTCACCGCGATATCCACAATATCACACTTAGCTAATTTAATACTCAAATAATAATATGAAGAATACAATATGCTGCAGAAAATGAATATTAATTATCAATATTTAAAGTTATTAAGCGGCATCATATTAAACTGTTCGCGCAGGTTAACAATAATAAGATTAAATCATTGATTAATTAGGGAAATATTTAATATATTATTGTTTGTTAAAGAAGTAAATTTTCACTAGTTATATCCCCCGATGATATTTTAATTTGACCATTTTTTTATCATTCGTATATAACTTAATTTTGATTTAAGTAACCAGGTTTATTTTATAATTCATATATAACTTAGTTTCGATTTAGTAACCAGGTTTATTTCATTTATATATATTTCCCTCTATTTCATCAAGAGAAACTACAACAGTTTTCAGCGTGTACGACGGAGCCAAATTTACAACGGGTGTCGTCTATCATCGCCATTTTCGTTTTGGAAATCTGATTTCCTCGGCTACCCTATATTACCTTATGTTTACCATGTATGTCGTGAATAACTATATCTAATCCTATCTTTTTTCTTTTCTCTCATCAGATTTTTACGGCGATATGGTGTCATTGTACATTACAGATAAGTCACAAATGGAGGAACTCAGAATTAACGGCAAAGGAAAGAAGATGAGAAAACCAAGGACAATATACTCCAGCCTTCAGCTCCAGCAGCTGAACAGGCGCTTCCAGAGGACGCAGTATCTGGCTCTCCCCGAGAGAGCAGAACTAGCCGCCTCACTAGGCCTTACCCAGACACAGGTACGTGCTGTCTTAACTTTTATTACAAAAACTAACATTTTTTTCAGTAACATAACATATACCCCGTCTGTCCAACAATTCATTTTTATGACGTAATTTTTCATTTTATTTTCATTTTTTTGTTCGTTTGTTTGCTTTTATTATTATTTGGTAATATATTTATTAAGTTTTCACGTTCGCCGTTCCATTTCGGAGTCCCAAACTCCTCCGTTTAAATATCCATTATTCAATAAGATACTTTCCGTTTAAACATCCAGTATTCAATAAGATACTTTAATACTATTAAATACTATAACGATAAAACAGTCTTACAAGTTCGGTTGTATGAATACGTCTATAAGTAGTATAGACACTATCGGTTGTATGAATACGTCTATAAGTAACATAGACACTATCGGTTAAGTATAGAAACTCTCATCAGGTAATGGCATTGTGTATCTATAATCTTTTTAAAAATTGTTCAAACATTCTTTTCAAATCGTTTAATGAAATGAAATCGTTTGATGCACAATTCTTTGAATTTAAATAATAGAAATATTTCCCAAGTGTACACACAATTCACTTATGGTTTTAGATAAAAGAAAAACCCAAATGAAATGATTTCCTTCTCAACATTGTGGTCAGCGTGTTCTTCAATTCAGTAATATTCTTCTCAGATAATTTTGTCGAGTTGATCATCTTTATGACAGTGTTATTTATCATACAGAATTGTAATAATCACAGATAAAGAGCTAGAAAGATAATTATCAAGATTAAACTATTTTGATAATAACAGAAACAATTAATGAACAACGTGTTACATCATCCAAACACATAATTATATTCATCAAATTAAATAAAGTTCATTTTTGTAAAATGTTCTCATATATCTTACCGTTCCAATATAATTACAAAATCTCGAAGACAGCATGAGAACTGAATATGCGGAACGCAACAAAATTGATCGTTCCACAGAAAATCCCGCGGGGCATATTCCGTATTTTAAATTAACTTATGAAAAGGAGAAATCCGATTGGTTCCTCTACTGCCGTGATCCAACTCGGAAACAATTGAATATGCAAACCACTTGTTCGAGGCAGCACAGGTAGTCGGGTTAATTCCAGAAGTCAATATTAATCCTGAGTATAATACAATATCATCCATTTTTTTCCACCACAAAATTTGCTAATGTATGTTTCACATTTTCATTTAATCCGGTAAATACTGAAAATAAATAATACAATAACCGAAAGGCAACAGGCAGCGCACATGCCAATTCCTGATGGCGCAAATTCCACAAACAGTAATGAACCGTATATATACTTATCAATATCAAAAATCCCAGAAACCTGTTCAGGTATGTAGGGTGGTGCAATGTAGACCGCAGGATACGGAAGGGCGCGTGTAGTATCCAGAGCGTGCGCTGGTCCCGATGCAGGTTTGGACTAGGCCCCAACTCTTTATATCTTAGACTAAAATTGGCCAATTTACCTCAGAACGCTTATTTTCAACAGGCAGCCGATACTTAGCATTTTCGATTACACCAAAACTATTACTTTTGTCAACAGCAAAATTTTGCTTGATTATATGCAATTTTCTACAATGCCAAGGCTTAAAATTTCGTAATAGACCCTGATTACTTGTTTTAACATTTCATAGTTAATTTATTTGACAAGAGACCAGGCTACGGGACCTAAAAGAGGGGGTATTTACCGTGGAATCGAGACAAATAACGGTTTATCCTACAATACACGCATTGATTTTTGCAGAAAATTGGGAGGTTTTTAGTAATGATAGGGAATTTGGGCAAATTAAGTGTTATTTTCATTCATTTTATCGAATATCGGTTTTTCTGATGTGATTTCAGGGAATCAATGGCAGCGGAAGCCGGTGCATAGTTGTATAGCGGCTACCTCTGGTTATTGATTGTGATACCTCGTGTGTTATTGATTAGGAAATTAGAAATAATTCGCCATTTTTGTAGAATTATCTTCGCCGTTATATCACTCTGTCATACATTACGTGGTCTAGATAACACGTGATTACCGTCAGGCGCCAGTCCTCGATCCCGAGCTCGACTTGAACATTATAATACACCATATTACAGTGATGGAGAGGCTGGAGAGTCCGATTTGACGTACCAATCTCTCCGTCTCCGAATCGTACTTTAGTTAGAGCTACTTTCATTGCACCGTAAGCCGAAGTTAAGGTGGGCATGCATGACGGGTTAGGACTTTGAATGTTTCGTTTTCCCATCACTAGAGCTACTTAGTTGATAATAAAAACAATTTGTTTCATTTTTATTTTTATTTTATTTTCAAAATAAGTAATGTATACGTTCTCAAATATTTCTAATTTTGAAATACGAACGGCTTGGTATTTCAGACGAAAAAAAAACAAATTCAAATTTCTTGACTTCAAAGTTTACCTGATCTTTACAAATACAATATTTTTCTGAAATCTTTTGTCCATGTATTGACACCGTGGTATCTGTTGTACTGACCGTACCGCCAGTGCTGGTGGACAGTATTTCGGACAATCCGACCCGGTCAATGAGACTCGAACTCTAGATGTGAAGCGAGATAAAGTGTGGAACAGAAGTATCGTTTAATCAGGGCCCTGAGCCATACATGGTCAAACATCTCGTTATCTTATTCAGGGTGTTAGGGACACGTTGAGAGTGACCAATACTGCCCCGATACTGACCACCTATCGCCGGGTATGCTTTTTGTAACGATAAATTAATTACACGTGTTTCGTTATCTGGTTTTGGCCTTGTCACCTGTCTATTGAAGCACGGAACCAGTTGGCCCTGGGTGACTTGGTGGTTCTGATTGAGATATACAGGGGTAGAACCTCTAGGTAACACAGATAGTATATCTTGTAATTCAGTTTTGACATATAAAGCAAACATTATGTGAAGGTGTTAGTGTACAGGATAAACGTTTAGATGTGAAAACGTGCTCCTCTTCTCCAGAATGCATTCTCACACTTGTCTGGGCAACTGGTCCTGTGTTTCTCCTCAATTGATTGGTTTCATAACACGAGATTTAATCTTGTCTTCCCCCGGACCTTGATATGGTGTCCATGTATTCAATACTGTCGTGTAGGTTTTTCAATTTCTAATGTTTACATTATATAATTATTGCAAAACATTAAAATTCATTGGAATACCACCACGTATTTACCGGTGTTCAAGACACACACACGCTTTATATCAGCATTAACTATCAGACACCTACGCACTTTTAGTTTAAAATGAAAACAATGAAATGGTTTTCTGATCTTCAGTGTCAGTTCGTGGATATACTCTGTCGCCATGTTTACAGCTAAATATCTGGTTAACACGCATGCTGACCTCTGTATAGCGAGGTATGGGAGATGTTATCTTGTGTGCCCCTTACAAAGCCCTAAAGGGTTCCGTGGTCCTCGTGTCTACCCGTGTCAGAGACGAGTAGCCCCTTCTCGTGAAACACGAGCCCTTACACCCGTTATAGGAACCGGGCAAGGCTTCACAAGTCACATATTACATTTCATTTTGATAAATTTCATATTTCCCTGCAGAAGGAAAATTTTACTGGCAGCTGGGAGCCAAGGACAGGTAGTGTCGGGTTGAAGAGTAAACTAGCCGTAGCTTATAGGAGGGTCGGGTGTGGAGGGACGGAGGGGGAGGGATGTTCAGGGTGTCAGACTTCAGGAGGGGGAGATTAATGACGTATCTGTGGTCTGAGGAAGTTTTATCATTTCGTCAGTCAGATATATTCAATGTTTCAGTCTACAATGTGACACATTCATACCGAAGTCAAGATTCATACCGAAGTCAAGCTTTTTTAGCAATAATGCACTGAGATATGTGATATATATAAACATTTCGTACCTTTAACAGATCAAAAAGGAACGTTCGCCGTGTTCATACACAAGTATATTTCATAAGTAAAAAAAAAAGTAAAATGCATAAATCTTCCACGATAGCAACGAAGGTGAAAGATATCCCGATAACACACGGGATATATTAAACAGTTCGGGGACACAGTCAGGTGAGAACCTTTTCGAATGCATTTCTATTATTTACATATTCTAAATTTAGATATGAAATTTGAAACGTTTTAGACATCGCACTCGCTGAACACATTCAGAGATTGTTAACAGCAGATTTATCAGTTTATTTATTCAAATTTCTTGTACATGTAACATAAATCATATAGTTAAGTAAGTCAGTTGTACTGGCGGCCTTACCTAACACTTAATACTAGTTTAACAACGTAATAACTAAAGTATTACAGTAAATCTGTTTTAATATTCCATCTATCTGATGTGTCGCCCCCTTTAAAACCATTCTCAGTTTATTTCAATTAAGCATTGTTCTATTCAATTCCGTGTATGTAAATTCTACAGCAAGATGTTATCAATTATTTTGAAAATATTTAAACTATTTATATATCACAGCAAAACAAACGTACGCAGCTGTTAGTCGGAGTCAATGTTTAGACATATCAGAATTATAGATCATTAAAACGGTTAATGTTTATTAATTCACCCGTACAAGCGATTAAGCGCCATTCGTTGACTAATATAAATTATTCATCTCTGGTATCTTAATAGAAAACAAATCATTTTATCATAGATGAAGAAAAATGCAATGTTTTATTTGAATTAAGTGAACAAATATTTTTATTTAGTAAGTATTTTTTTTTCTTTCTTGCAAGAATATTAAAAACTGTCCTGCTACGTTTTGGTATACGGTCCCTGCAATTGTTCAAAAAAGATGTCGGAATACTTGACACAAGTATTTGTTAAAAAATAATTACAACCGTACAATAACGCTGTCTTTGAAGTCAGACCCCGCCGTACGGCGGTGATGACACCTAGGCGTCCACACGGTGTCACCGATGACGTCAAAGGCGACAAAAAGGCCACCGGCGGACAAGAAAGTGATCGGACGCAACGCTAATTACCTTGTTTGTTTAACAAATTACTGCCCCTATTTCATGTGAGAATATAAACATCAAACTAAATGCTGG